TATATTTGAAAAAACTAAATTTTACAAAACTTTCTACCCTACACAATATTCTCAATCTCTCTAATTTCTATTATTTTTTTCTTTTACACAAAATTTGTTCATTATTCTAAGTCTACATTTATACTTGGACTTTTCTTCTATCAAATAATGCTTTTCTTGCTCCTTTTGAAGGGCGTTGGCAAATATTCTTTGGGTTACATCTTGTAAACAAACTTCTAATTCTTCCAACCTTCTTCTTAAACCTCTTGTTTTATTTGCAATCTATAAAATACAATTTTTATTACTTAATACAATATTTACTTATTTTTACAAATACCAAACTCATAACTAAAACTATACCTTTGTTCTACAGTAAAGCCCTACCATAAAACTTATAAGGATAATGCTCTTGAAATTTTTCTTCAAAAGTATTCTCAGTAACTTCAATAATCTCTCTTGGAACTTCCTCAAATAGAACATACTACTTATAAAACCTCTTCAAATTACTTCGTATATAACATTGTTTATCTATCTTTTAAAAACTATTATCAAATCCAAAACCCAAACTTTAATTTAAATCGAATAAATTCACATGTGGTGTAATATCACACATCTTATAGATTAATTAATATATAAACATGAATAATCCTAAGCTTCTTATTGAAACTCTAAATCTAGAATAAGGTCTTCAAAAAACCTGCATTTTTGTTTTTTATTGTGTTCACATCCATAGTATAGTGGTTAGAGCATTGTATACTCTATAAGCCGCATGTTTGACTCTACTGGTAGTATACTAAATCTGGTGCAACATAAAAGCATTACCGACTACATTATCCAGTACTGTTTTTTATATACTTTTATTCTTTTTTTATTTTCTTTTTACTTTTCTTTACTATTCTTTTTCTCTTTTATTATTTTACTTTTCTCTTTTACGATACTATTTATTTTATTTTTATCCCTTTTTTTTTTTTTGTAAACTTCTCTTTTCTCAATTCTTTTCTTTTTTGCTTTTCTGAACTTCTTTTTTAAATCTAAATTACTTAACTCATTTAATCTTTACAAAACTATTACTATTACTATCTTCTTTTCCTTTTTTCTTCTCTATCTTTATTTAAATTCTTTTAAAAATACTATACTTTTTTATATCACAAAGAATCTACATTTTACGTATCCTATAGTACTTCTATAAAACTTTATACTTATCCAGAACTCATCTAGATTTGTATAAAGTTTTCAAATCTAGATGAGTCTTGGCCACTCTAGTAGGTTTAGGTTGCAGATAAATTAGTCTGAGCTCTTATTCTTGCATATAATTTATATTTATTTGTTATTATACAAGTTAAGTTTTTTATATAATTTTATTATATAATTGCTTATATAAATTATTTAATAAAGATACAAGCAAGGCCTCACCTTAATATTAAAATATATATATATATATATAGGTTTCTCATAGTTTAACTATGAAATGTTTATTTAAACGCAAAAAAATCTGAAATAATAAAATGTTATAAAAAAATTGCAATGAATAGTCTTTTGGGAATATTTTTATTAAAAACAGTTGTTGATTTTTTTTGCTACTTACAAAGCAAAAAAAATTTTGACTCCTGAAGCTTTACTAGCTATTGATCAATTTTTTTCATTATTAAATAAATTTTTTGACTTGTTTGAAGATTTGACCAAAGATATAGTAAAAGGCAACACTATATTGAGAAAATAAAAATACTAATAATCTGCAATAATCTTTAAAATTATTAAATAATTGCAGAATTTTAAAAAAAACTGTGAAAATTTATAAAGAATTTTAATTTTGAGAACTTCACAGATTTTTATTTAAAAATCTGTGCAATTAATTAAAAAGTCATAATCTGCACTTTATATTATAGATCTACTTGATAAATTTGTTTTTTTTTGTTTTGCATATTTTGATCTTTTTTTTATAACTTATATTCTTGTTTTTTTTTTGCCTTTTTTTATTTTTTTACTTTTAATATACTGTATTTATCTATTTATTTTATTCCATTATATTTAGTTTACTTTTTTTATTTTATTATTTTTTATTTTACTTTATTCTTTTTATTTATCTATTTATAAAAATTACTATGTTTAACTGGAGGATTTGCATATAAGTGCTTTTCTTTTTTTCTTTTTTTAACTACTGTACTATCTAGATTACTAGAATATTTTTTTTATAGTGCTATTTCATAGTTGCCATCATCGTTGGTGTCACTGTTAGTATTAATATTAGTGTTGTCATTGGTGTCACTGTTGGTGTTGACATTGGTGTCATTGTTGGTGTTGACATTGGTGTTATTGTTGGCATCGTCATTGCTTTTATTATTGGTGTCATATTTAGTATTATTGGTTGTATTGTAATTGGGTTTTAGTTATAGTGCATATATCTTTTCACTTTTGTTGTTGCAACAATATTGGTGTTATTGTAAGTAATGATATAGATTTTTTTTATAGTCACGCTTTGGAGTGTCATTTCATCATTTATCAGGAAATTTTTAAATATAGTGGGCATCAATTACCTGGTGCAGGGTTAATTACTATCAATTAAAAAAATCGATAATCATTGATATTAGTTGTTAATTGCTTGCAATTTCATCGATTATAATCTTGATATAGTTATTAATCAATGTATAATATTTGCAATCGATTATAATTGATAAGATAATCGATTATATAGTTGTTAATCGATGCAGATTTAATATTTGAAACACAGTATTATGATCAATGGGAGAGCTTGATAGAGTCTTGAACCAATTTAGCTTCGATCGTGAGCAAAAAATAGTGAATGTTTAAATCAATAAACTGATATATAATTATGGGTTATTACACTTCTTTAAGAATATTTGATTTTGACTTGCATATCTTACCTTATATGATATGTTATGTAATTAATTTGTTTACCAAAAACAACTACATTACTTAATGTTTTTGGTTTGTGTTGCTTAGTTTTCATGTTTATTGTGCATAGATCGACAAACCAATTTCCTCACAATACCAAAAAAGGAAGAATTTTGATCTGTCATTTTTGATATATATATTGCTATTGCTATTGCTATTGCTATTACTATTGCTACTATAAAATTTATAAAGATTCTAATGTGTTGCATTAGCGTAAATACAACTGTGTGTGTTTTACCTAAAAGAGAAGAAAAAAGAATTTCTCAAGCATTTAGAGATGTCTCATCTTGGATTTATTTATTTATTTTTTGAAATATTTTAAAATAATTATTTTTTCTGTGTCGAATTTTTTACCGAGCTGATGAAATGATAATCTCTGATCATCAAAGACTATAACGAAGAAAATTGTAACGAAACTTTGGCGATTACTTCCAAATTAATTTTGAATTACTAGACTTTAAATTATAACTTATATGGCAATAGACTAAGCAAGAAGAATCTATAAGTGTATCCATTGATCCTAATTGACGTGCTGGTGACTTTAGCAGGCATATTTAATTAATTACTTGATTTAGAGTTATGATGTAATTAAAACAATAATCTACATTTATAATAAAAAACAAGATTTGCGAATAAACTTTCTCACAATATAAGATTTATATAAAAATTATATGTGCACAATTTTTATATATAGCGATAATTATATAATAGTCAAATAATATCATTAAATTGTTTTTTCACACATTATGAATTGTGAGAAGCATATGTACCAGTATTTATTAATATCATAAATAAGAAATAAACATTAACAATTAATTCCAAATTATTCGTAGGATCCTTGCTTTTTGGATGATTATAATGTTAATGAATATTTGCTATCTTCACGACAAAGGTATGGCTTACAATAAATATAAATAAATTTAGTCAAACTGTATTATTTTTTTTTAAAAAAAAAAATTTTGTTTACAAACTTTCGCACCTGCATAAACCTGTATAAAAATTATACACACACACAATTGTTATATATAGAAATAGTTAAATAATAGTCAAATAATACAATCAAATTATTTTTTCTCACGTTATGAATTACAGTTCATAATAATATGAACTGATACTGTTATTTATAAAATAAAAAATAAACATTAAGAATTGATTTAAATAACTCGAAGAGGATCCTTACTCTTTAGATGATAATAATATTTATAAATATTTGCTATCTTCACAACAAATGTATAGTATAGTAAAATAAAATAAATATGAATAGATTCAATTGAGTAAACTTGAATTTTTTTTTAAAAAAAAAACTTTATTTTAATTAGCTAAAAGTAACACATTTATCAAATAATAATAATAAATAATAATAATAATAATAAATAATAACTTAACAATTGATTATAAATAAGCGCTATTTTTTCTTTTGACAAAACAAAAAATTTTTACTTTAGTCGTAAAAAAAAAAAAAATGCCTAGCATCATTACTACTATTTGCTATATCACTGACCATCAAGAAAATGCGATTAATAACGATCTTTCGATTGTAAAAGCAGCTGAAATTACATGTCTCAGAAACAATGATATTATTTGAATATTCTCTTAGTTGCTTTTTATTCCAACAATTAACAAAATATGGTATCTTTTTCAACAGAAGATGTATTGCTGGTTACTGGAAAATTTTGTCTAATTGAAGAAACAGATGATGAAGGAAACAATATATCCTATTTTAAAAATAAAATAAATTAAAATTTTTGTATTAAACATACTATTGTTTTTGAATTAATAACTTATACATCTCTGTATTTTAAAAAATAGATTACCTTAACTGATGCTGTTCCTCTCAATATTGATCCGACCAATCTGCCAAAATTTCCTCTCTTGATTAATATGACAGCAGTTGCTCTCGAAAATGCTGAAATTAACCAAACTGATATCGTTATTCCTATTGAAATGAAAGATTACATGGATCAAGATAATGTTATTCAAATATTCAAATCTTATCACTTAACAAATGCACAACATTTAACACGTATAACCTCGACTGTAAAGAAAGGATCTGTAATGTTTATTTTTGGCGAACTTATTTTGGTTGATGAAACTTTCATTATTCATCTTCGAAGTATAAACTTCTCTGAACACCAAAAACTGTCTGTTACTGTAAAAAATCCATCTAACCTTCCTTGGCAAATTGAAGCTCCTACAAATAAATCCGATACAGTTGAGAATGTATCTCAAACTATAGCTATATGAGTCAAATGTGATGGCAGATGCAAAAAGGCTAAACCTTACTCGAAATCAAAGAATCAACCAAAAATTGCCAATCTTGCCAAAAATGCTCTGAATTAGCATCTCAAAGCTCTAACAGTTTTTTTTACATTTTTTTTTTTTTTTTTTTTTAAAAAAAATTTTAAACTTCAATTATTCTATAGTGTATGTAACCGTGTATATATTTATCAAATATAACATATTCATTCAATAAATAAAATAGCCTTGCTTGTATAACAAAAAACTCACGTATATCTGTATTAATATTTGCATTACGTAATGATCATCTACCCGCTTCTATTATTGGTTAAAACTCACTATATCGAAATATTCACACGATTAAATATAATATTTGCGCTGAAACATACTATTACAATATAATTAAATCATAATAATACCTGTACTGCAATTTCTATTAACAGCTAGTGATTACAATATATAATTAATTTACGATTTAAAATAAAAGTATTTACATATCAGCATTCATATACATAAACAACTACCCCTTCCATTACTAATATTAATAATCGCTACAATTTTGTTATATGATTAAAATTCATTATATTTATTATTGATTAATAACATAAATTATCAACTATCTACTTTCAATATTAATTAGTAGTTACTATTATTATTTAATAATTACAATTTACGATTAAATATAATATTTGCACTAAAACATACTATTACAATATAATTAAAACATAATAATACCTGTATTGCAATTTTTATTAATGGTCAGTAATTATAATATAAGTATTTGCTTATCAACATTCATGTAAATAATCAACTGACCCCTTTCATCACTAATGTAAATAATTGCTACAATTTTAATATATAATTAAAATTCATTATATTTACTTATATTCCCACTATTGCTTAATAACAACATAAATTATCAAGTATCTACTTCCAATATTGACTAGTAGTCATTATTATTATATAATAATTACAATACAGTCGTCCTCCCATACAATCACACAGTTGGGCACATAGTAACTTTTTTTTAAAATGTGCTTATAGAGAGGTTGTGCTTATATGGAGGTTTTTTTCTTATAAATTAAATTATAGTTTGGCCTAAATAAAAATATGATTACATATGATGTGATTATATGAGAGGTGACTATATGGAGGGATGACTGTATACGATTAAATATAATATTTGCACTGAAATATACTATTACAATATAATTAATAATAATAATACCTGTATTGCAATTTCTATTAACAGTTAGTAATTATAATATATGATTAATATATGATTAAAAATAAAAGTATTTACATATCAGCATTCATGTAAATAATTTCCATTAGTAATTGCTACGATTTTGGTATATGATTAAAATTCATTATATTACTCATGTTACATATTTGTTTCCATTATTGGTTAATAACAAACATAAATTATCAACTATATACTTCCAATATTGACTGGTAGTTGCACTGAAACATACTATCAAAATATAATTAAATAATAATAATACCTGTACTGCGATTTCTATTAACAGTTAGTAATGATAATATATAATTAATGCATGATTAAAATTAAAAATAAAAGTATTTGCATATCAGCATTTATGTAAATAATCAACTAAACCTCTTCCATTACTAATGTTAGTAACGCTGCAATTTTAGTATATGATTAAAATTCAAACAAAATCTATATTCACATTAATACATATACATTGTATAAATTATCAACTACCCATTTTCTATTGTTAGTTAATAATAAATTATCATCTACCTATTATTAGCTAATAACTTTATATATGTCATAGGTAAAGAGAAATTATGTTGATTCAAAACTTTTATGTTGGATTTTTATTATTATAATTATTCTATTTTAATCCAAGTAGATTCCAAATCTATAACAATTTCATTCTTATCTACAACATATGTAATAATAATTATATCATAAAAAAATTTACAAACGCATGTATACACTTATTACCAATTAACAAAAACAAATTACAATATATACATGCTTATGACCCATCAATAACCACTAATCATAAAAATATGTGAAATATACTAAATATATAAACAAATCGTATAAATAAAATAATTATCATATAAAAGATACTTTTAATACGCTTTATGTATCACTAACTCAGGATGTCCAATAATCATCAAATTTTCAAAATTGAACTTTTAAGTTATGAACAAATTACTGACTTATTTACACTTGAAAATACTTCACAACACACAAATCTCTTACATCATATTTCCTCTCTGATACCTACACTATCAACCTATCTACCGTGGTCTCCTTCAACAGAGTTAAAAGAAATTATGAACAAATTTGAAGAGGAAATTTTATATCAATTTCCATGCATTCCATGTTCCATTTGTTCAAAACTCATGTACTCTGAAAAATCTCAATGGATTGAACGCGATATTAATATTTCGTATGCACTTACTAATGCTTATCCGAATATCAGATTAATTACAAATCCCAATCCATCTCCAAATCGTATTGCCGTATGTTCTTCATGCAAAACAAATTCGAATCGAAATTATCCTCCGTATCTTCATCAAATTCCATTAGAAATTGAAGCTGTTCTACTAGAAAAGCGCAAACATCTATCTCCGGTCTTCTTACATTGTTCTCTTGGTCGCACTCCTGGTGCAAACGCCTTTACTGAATACAGATCATTAGTAGGAACAATGAATTACTCTAAAAATTTTCATTCGCTAAGTCTATATTCTGGAATATTGGGCACTTTTCTAAATTCTTCAAATTCTACTACAAATCAGTCTATGTTACCTCCCTGGTTTGAATATTCTTTACAAAATGCTGCCAATTGGCTCAAAGAAAATAATCCATTTTTTCATGAATACACACGAATATCTTCAAACAACTTATTTATGCATAATCCATTTCTGTCTGCAACTTACTTACCTGATGATGAAAATGCACCGTCATTTCAAAGAGATATAGTAGTTCCACATCAGAATTTCCTTGCCGAAATTCATAATGAAGATGCTCATTATAGCCACCTAATGGCTGGATTTTTAACAACTAATGAATCAAATAAAATTCCGATTGCTTTGAATAACTCTCATCTTGAAGCATTAATTTTTCCAGATTTATATCCAAATGGTCATGGCTACTACCATGAAATGTTAAATCAATTAGAAAATGTAAGACGTGGCCATGATACATTTGGAAAATATATCAAGCATCACCTACTTTCTAAAAATCCTTGTTTCCGATTACATCACCACTGGCCCGCATGGGCTTATCTCCAATTAGAGAAGCTTAGAAATTTTTAGAACACACAACGTTTAATTCATCAATCAAATGCTAATGCAACACATCGTCCACCTACAGCCATTAAAATTATTGAACGAAGTACATATTCTGATGATTGGCGCTATAATGAATCAAAAACCTTACTAATTCCCACTTTTATACGCACAGGTGATACTTACTTTCAGCAAAAAATCTTACATTTAAACACAATGATTTGTGAACTTGGTCTCCCTACCATTTTCATTACACTAACGATGGCTGAAAGTTCATGGCACTATCTTAATCACATATTAATTAACACAGACAATCATGATCCTTTATCTACAAATAGACCGTTACAAACAACTTTGCACTTCATTCATAAATTACAAATTTTATCTGGAAAAATCAAACTGCTAATGAATGGGGAACTTATCACCAATTCTTTGACAAAATAGAATTTCAGAACCACGATGCAGCTCACCTGCATGGTGTATATTGGACAACATTAGGTATTACAGAAATGATTAATGCAAATTCTATTAGATCTACACTTCCTGATCCCAATTTAGAGTTTGATCTTTACCAAAAAGTTAATACTTTCCAAATGCATACTTGCAATTACAAATGTGGTAGTCCAGCTCCACTAGGAACCAGATGCAGAAAAGGGTTTTCACGTCCATTTTCTGACTATACTTATTATGATCCAAAAAATTTTAGATACACATACCAATGCATAACACCTAATGATCAGTGGGTAGTTCCATACCATGCTCCCACTTTGATGATATGGAATGCTCATATGAATGCCCAGTATGTCACAAACAAAGGACTTGCCAGATACATAACAAAATATATTAGCAAGTCCGAGCCAACACACTTATTCAATATACACGAACAATTAAATTATAAAGATTACATCCATGCATGCCGGATGAGTTCAATAGAATTGATGTTCTTATTACTTGGAGAAAAAATTATAAATTCATCAATCCAAGTTCAATTCTTAACAACTGACCCTCCCAATATTCGCTCAAAAACAATCTTACCTTTATATATGATTAACCCATGTGATAATAACCCCTACTGGTCTGACAGAATAGAAAATTATTTTGCAATACCAAAAAACAATTCTTTCAATGATATAACTTACAAATTATATTTTGAATTATATGAAATTAAACCAACTAGACCAACTAACTCTAACAAAACAATCTACCAAGATTCTCTGGGAAATTTCATTATTAAACATACAAACAAAATACTAATCCGTGTTCGATTCTTACAGTTAGAACATGGAAAACCTTACTTCTACCAACAACTATTACTTAGACTTCCTTGTAGATCTAAAGATGAACTTCTTGGCAATTATTCAACCTATCGAGATCATTTCATTGCCCGCTTTCCAAATATATACCAATTGATAAATGAACAAAATTTTGAATATACATCAAACCAGTCAATATACACCCTAGAACAATACAATTCAATTATTGAAACTATAATCTCTTCACTACATTCAATTTTATCAACTAGCATAATCGACATTATTGAATTACAATTGAACTCACTTAAAATATTACCCAAAATAATACCAAGAAATGCAATAATAAACTTACCACAAAGCCAATATTATTGCATGCAAACAATTACAAATTACTTAGGCCCGCGAAACATGTCTCACTATCCTTTTTTCTTCATCACAGGACCAGCTGGAGTTGGCAAGTTATATATTATTTATTTAATACTA